AAGTTTAAAACTGATTTCAAAATGACATATAAAACCACAATATTAGCCATTTTGATTTTCCCAAATAGAAACACATAATCCCGAGCTAACCCAAGTCTTTACATTAGTATAATACATCCCCCCTTGAAGACTGTATCAGAACCCCTCCCTACACGGGACTGAGAGTGCCCACGGCTGGAACATGTGGAGCTCTAAGGAGCCTCAAGACAAGTGTGTAGGTCAGGTCCACCCCACCCCCACCCCCCATTCAGTGGGAACAACCTATCTGAATGCTGACTTCAGAACTTAGAGGCAGTGACTCAGCACTGCTTTCCTTTCCCATTTCTGAGGTTTTGCTGGACCTCAAGAAATGACCTAACCCCACTTCAGCTTATTCCAAACATAGAAGATGGAGTCCATTAGCTTGGTCCTGATGCCTGTGACCATAAGCTGGTCCCTTCTAATTGGTTAAAGAATTCTTGTCTGCCATGTAACAGAAAACCATCAGTATACCTACTAACCAGATGAGTGTGGCAAGCACTTATTATATAAGTCCACTGTGAAGAACATATTGTTTAACTTACAAAAAATAAGTATTTTTGGTAGATGATACAAGAACATGTCAGGTTTTCCAAATGACCTAAAAACTTTCTTTTTGGAAAAAAAATTTAAATATAGATGCAATGAGCAATTAAGGTCTGAAATATCCCACACAATTTTAAACCACAGAGGAAACAAGTTAATGCAGCTTCCTTCAGTTAGAATTAGACGTGGACTTTGGATTAACAATTAGAAAAGAGATGGTTCCTTTCTACACATTGTTTTACTTCTTTTCCACGGGTGGTGTCATCATACAGTAGAATTCTGTATGTCAGCATGGCTAAGCCAGGGTGCCTAGTTGTTTGGTCAAACACTATGAAAGATCTACCTGTGATTCATTCACTTGGCTTTCAGTTCAGCAGCAGAATCTCCCTCATGGGTGGGCCTCATGCAATCAATTGAAGGCCTTAACAACAAAAAGGGAATATTCTGCCTCCACAAATAGAGGTCTTGCTATGATTTCCTACATTTTCTTTTATTTATTTGTTGCTTTAAAAAAAATTATTTCCCTACATGTTCATCCTGTTGCCTGACCTACAGATTTTGGACTTGCCTGTCCCCACAGGTGGGTGACCCATTCATTCTCTAAAATCAAAACCCCCACCAACCCAAACCAACAAAAAACCCAACAACAACAACACCACTCTCTCTTTATATAGAGCTTTAAATAAATGGAAATGCAAGAGCGCTCCAACAGTACTGCATTATTTGGACTGAAATACTTAAGTAGTTCTGAGGTAAAAGCAAAGTAAAACAAAACACAATCAAGCCCTCCACTGAAGGCACATTCCCCTTCTTTGAACGAGGCACACGGAGCCAGGGAATAACAGAGCTGTGTGCTAACTGCGGGAGAACACGCAGCAAACGGAAACAGAAACATATGAGGTGATACAGAGACGTGTTAAAGTAATTTAAAAATAATATTACAATTATGGGAGAAGCAACCTGATGGGCAAAGGAAGAAGAACATTGCATTTTTTGGAAACCAAAAGTAGTAGCTTTTAACAATTCTGGAGAGGTAAGACCATTTTAATATATTAATTCAAAATGGCCAATTCTTTAAAAAGATGAAGCATGGCATAGTTAGTGATGGGCAAGACAATGAACTGGTAGATGCTGACTGACTTCCTTATCAGATATGAATTTGAAGGACAAACATACTCCCTAAATCACATGAGGTATTTTTCTGCATTCTTATACATTAATCTTTTCCTAAGTGAAATATTGTAACATGTAAAATGAACGTTAAAATTTTGGGGATAGAATCCTTCCGGACGTGAAAAAACCCCAACACATTTCAAAAGTAAATTACGTAAATGACAACTGTTCATACTGCCTTTTAATGTATTTTTGTCAGTTCTTTCTGCGAGAAAAAAACAATTCTAAAGAGGACACCCATGCATTCCCAAAAACGCACACGCTTCAGTATCTACATGAATGGTGAGAATAATTGAACAAGAAGCTGAACAGGTCAGACTGCCCATTACTAACACTGCCTGGGAACGTGTTAGTTTCTGTGTGAAGCAATGCATTTGACTGTTAGCGTAGCAGAAAACACAGACTCAGAGGGTGAGGGAGCAGCCCCCACCCACTAGGAGGAGCTCATTAGAATAAAGCTGACCAAGCGTGGAACAAGACCTCTCAGCCTGGGAATGAGACCAACCTTGCAGTCTCAAGGACTGGAGTTAGTCTGGTCTATCATGCACTACAAACAAACAAAATCAAAACCAAACTCAAAACCCAGACTGCAAGTGTTTTGCATTCTTTTATATTTTATAATTTGTGTTTTACCTTTTGGAGAATGATATCATCTGGTGCCTCGGGCTGTTTACTTGGGATCTCAGACTGAAAACAGGGTATGAAGTGTAGACATATCAGAAAACACAAAACCAAAACCAAAATACAACTTAAAGAAGAACACAAAAATAAAGTTTTCTTGAAGACTGACAGGAATATGGGAGACACAGGGACTCAAGTAAACCTGCTACCCTAACTGCATGAAATCAGGACTTGGCTTCTTGCAGCAGTGTGCTCAATGATCCAGGGAGATGAGGTCAAGGAGTCCGTGTAGAAAAAGAATGTTTGGGAATTGTGGTAGCAATCTTACATTCTATTTGATGTGAACGAAAATTGGAATGATTGATGTATGTATTATATCCCAACTAATAAGAAAAACCCTAATGTACACTAAAATTCACATTGTAACGAAGCAGGACAGACTTAAAAATCACAAAGACAAAACCCAGCACAGGTCAGCATGGTCACCGGTAACTTATAGGCCATGTTTTAGATGATTTTAATAGGAAAACAATAACAATAGAAATCTAGGTAATAGAACCTATAGCCTCTGTCTTCTGTCTGTTCACTTCGCTCACCACCAGGTCCACATTATAACGGGAGCAACTAGGTCCAAGTATTATCTACAATATCCCACATGGAGGAAACCATCAGGTACTAGTTACTGACAACCGCCCCCCCGCCCACCCCCACACACACCAAAATCCAAGGATGTATTTCCCTCATTACTCTTACAGATCCAGTTCCAGGCAGGCTGAAAACAGAAGGCCGGCTGATCCTCAGCTCCCTAACCCAAATCTGTTAAGAGTACTTTTTAGAGAACTAAGCATTTGCTTTATATTTTATTCCTAGAATACAATCCCAATAGCAAGGCATTTTCCCACTGAGCTGTATAGTACAAGTGAGGAACCCGGATGGCTTAGTGAGTATGCAGTGGGCTGCTAACCGCAAGGTCAGCAGTTTGAAACCACCAGCTCTCAGGGAGAAAGACAGGGCTTTCTACTCTCCGTAAAGAATTACAGTGCCAGAACCTCACAGGGCAGTTCTACCCTGTCCTGTAGGGCTGCTATGAGTCAGCATTGACATGATGGCAGTGGGCTTGGTTTCTGGTAGTACATACATACTACCAACTTTTCTTCCGATTTCCAGGTTCTACCTGGAGATGTTAATCCTGGTGGCACAGTGGCACCGGTTGGGCTGCTAACGAGGCCAGCAGTTTGAAAGATGAGGCTTTCTACTCCCACAAAGCGTTCCAGTCTCAGAAACCCACATGCACTGCTCTTCTTGGTCCGCTAGGGGCACCCTGAGTTCTAACGGGCTCTAAGGCAGTCTATTAATGTCTGGAGACTCTGGTAAGCGTGGTGACAGTAAACAGAAGGCACATGCTTTCACAGACGCTTGCTTCCTTAGCCCAAATAAGCAGAGCCAGTGAAATACTGCACAAGGTTTAGTAAAACATTTCTCTTAAAAAGAAAACATTTAAAAATATACCTTACATAAGAGGTTTCTCTTAGGAATGATGAAAATATTCTCAAGTTCGGTGGTAATGGTTGTAAAACTCTTAAATACACTGAAAATTACTGATACTTTTAAAAATAACTTTTCCTGAGATGCACTCATATGACGAGGCTTGGCTTTACACACGTGCATGAATTTTTAAAATTCAGGATTTGTGTACTTCAATGTGAATTTTATCTCAATTAGATAAAAAAATAATTTCAAACAAATCAGTTTGAGTTTTATAAATAAAAGATCGATTGCTGGAGAGAGATGCGATGACTATCTGAGGTTCACTGTCCCTTCCATAGGACCCCAGGTGGCAAAGCGAGCTGCCACCTGCAGGGTCTGCAGCCCACCACCATCAGCTGCTCCGTGGGAGAAAGAGGAGGATTTCTACTCAGGTGACAATGCCTGGCCTTGGAAACCCATAGGGGTCATTTTATTCTGTCCTATAGGAATGTTATGAGTAGGTGTCAACTCAATGGCAGTGAGTTTTTTGGCATATCTTTCACAGGGCCTCGAACCAAAATATAGGCAGTTTGTTTTATGTCTATTCTTATAGTTTCTTTGCAAAACATGCTATGTACCACTGGTTTAATACATATTCCCTCATGGAGTAATTGAGCATCTAAGGTTCTGATTTTACTGAGAGACTCCAAGGATACATGTTACCGAATTGTAGTACCATGGCTCCCATCTATTTTAAAAATGATCACTAAATTGTGACACCTGGGTGTTGTTCGGTACCGTCGAGTCGGTTCTGATGTACAGTGATTGTGTGCGCCCCAGAATGAAACAGTGCCTAGTGGGGCCCGTTTGTAAAATAGGTCCACATTTGTCAAACAGAGCTGCTAATTCAGAAGAGAGAGAGATAGTATTAGTATTTATTATTATTATTGGAGAAATGACACAAATGCAAACCTCAATGAATGAATGATTTGGAAATATACTTAATTGAGAGTGGTTTATTTTACATGTCTGTGTTCTTGAATGGATTCTGTGAAATGAATATCTGGCTCAGTAACAGTTTATGTAAGTGTATGTGCTTAGTATAAAAAATACAGTAAGAAATATAAAATTATATAGACCGTAATTCTTGATTATTTATCTGGAAGATAGGTCCGTAATTAGAGAATATGTTGCTAAGGCGATATTATAACAACAGGTGTGGGCAAAAGGCTGTAAAAAGGCAAACGGATATCTTTACCTAGTGCTCCTGTATTGGAATTTTAGTGCTTAAAGTTATGGTTCTACCACTCACCTGTCAGTTTGCTATAGTGTGGTGGCTTAAGGATGTTGTGATGTGACTGGTATTTAAAACACTAGCAGGGTCACCCATGGTGAGCAGGTTACACTGAAGTTTCTGGACTAAGAAGAGACCAGGCAGAAACAGGCTGCTTACCTCTGAGCCAGCAGCTACTGAGAACCTGTGTTAACAGTGGAACTTTGCCAGGTACACTGGTGGAATATGAGTGTCAGAAGGCACTCACAACATGTCGGGGGTAAAGTTCCTCCCTCAAGGAAAGTTGACCTTAATGATGCGGGGGAAGGAAAGCTTTTGGGACTTCATTTACTGGTGGGCAGGACTCAAAATGAGAAGAAACAGCTGCAAACATGCATTAATAATTGGGAAAGGGAATGTCTGAAGAAACTGTTAAGCTGTCAGCAGGGCCTAGCACATGTAAAGTTAGACATCTGACGCATTCTCACTGCCACTGAGGCAAGGCTGATTCACAGTGACACTAGAGCATGGACTTCAAATCTTTACAGGAGTAGATAGCCTCATCCCCCACCCCCCACCCCCCACCTCCCGTGACGGTTGGGTTCAAACCGCTGGCCTTGTGGTTGGCAACATTAGTGAGCTGGAATGAACGCTGCTGGACTTTTGAGTTGGACAACCATACGGCTTACTCAGCAAGGGATGACAAATTAAAGAAGAATACTGATTGTCGCATTCATTGTCAAAGGAACAGTTCAGGATCTGTATTGAAATACAGTGTTGTCTGTGATTGGGTAATAGCTATATGGACACAAAGAAATCTAGTTAACGTAACTATTCATCAAATTTACACACCAACCATTAAAGTTAGTGAAGAGAAATGAAAGAATTTTAACAACTTTAGTCTGAAATTGGTCAAACAATCAGGATGCATTGGTAATTACTGGCGATTGGAATGCTAAATTGAAAACAGAGAGGAAGGCTCAGTAGTTGGAAAATACAGACTTGGTGACAGAAATGAAGCCAGAAATCGTAAGATAAGAATTGTGTAAGACCAACAGTTTCTTCACAATAAATATCTTTTTTCACTAACAGACATTGTGAATTTACAAGCTTTCCTAAATGATATTCTTTCTACAAATGTCATGATATTAATTCTGTTTTGAAAATTCAATGATCAAAGGGAGGCACGAGAACTTTACATTTATCAAAAAAGGGGTACACATCTTTAAAAGAAAAATCATGAAAACACTCAACTAAAAAAATTGAATCCTATAGAATGGCACTATCCGGTCATGTCAGACACGGGCCACACATGGCCACTACGCCTCTCCAAAGTGTCCAGTCTGAACGGAGACATGCTGGGCCAAGTAGTCACTGGCTTTCAAAGATTCGAGTAAAAAAAAAAAAAAAAAAATATATATATATATATATATATTCTAGAATATAAATGTTTTTATTCTTGGCCACACTTTGAACTAATAATTTGGGTGTATTAATTTCCATGAGTGATTAAAATGAATTTTACCTGCTTTCAAACCTCTTATAATGTGCTTAACTGAGCGTTTAAAACAGCGGTTCTCAACCTGTGGGTTGCGACCCCTTTGGGGGTCAAATGACCCTTTCACAAAGGTCACCTAATACATCCTGCATACCAGATAATTCATAGCAGGAGCAAAGTTACAGTTATGAAGTAGCAACGAAAATAATTTTATGGTTGGGGGTCACCCCCACATAAGGAACGGTCTTAGAGGATCAGAGCATTGGGAAGGCTGAGAACCACTGCTCTACAATGATACTTGTCGCTCCCATTGATGGCATGAAGCCCTTCTATTGCACAACCTGGGAGATGCCTTCTCCCGTCCAACAGGGGTGACACGACACGCGGCTTTCTCAGGAAAAGAACACTGGCTCTGGAGGCAAGGGGAATGCTGGCCATGAAAGTTGCATTACTACGGAGACAGTGCTGTGAAGATTTTTAAGAATGAAATGAACCTGTAGTTTCTTCTCTTCTAGATGATGTGCTCCTAGACTTTAAGAAACAGCAAAACCTGACTCTGTGGGCCATGCCCAGCTTAGACAACATGTTTCCAGTTTTGTGCACAATGGCACACTCCTGGGCAAAACGTTTGAATGATGGCTTTGGGGAAAGATAAATTGTTTACTTGAATAAAAGAGAATTTAAGGGCAAACACTGCTTGGCTTAATCTGTAGAGTCTTTGACAAAGGCTCTCAATATGAATGGGAACATGCTTAGAGTCTTCATTGTTCTCTACATTTCTTCAAAGAATATCTCGTAGTGTCCACATTTATTTTATTCATGAAGGTTTACTTATGTAGTGCTTATATTGGACCCAATACTAATCTACGTAAGTTACTAATTTTAACTACTTCTACCTGAACAGCCCTAGGCGGTGAAAAGAAAGTGGAGCTAAGAAGTTTAAAGGACCTGTGGTAGAGCCAAGATTAGAACCTGGGCAGTCTGGCTCCAGAGTCTGTGATCTGAACCACTTTGCTACCATGCCCCCCCCCTGGGATACTGCTCATCTTATCTTTTCACACACATTCTGACGATCAATGTAATATACAGCTTGGTGAATCTCCTGCGTTAGCGGTTCTGGTTGGCTGACCTCATAAGGAAGAGCACTCACGGTGAGAAGGAAAACTCGCAAGGGCTGGGGCAAACATTTAGCTCCACGTACTCACCGCCACGTTCGTCTCTTGTTCCGTTTCCGGTACATAAGGGTAATGGTTATAAAACATATCATTTCGCACCATTTTTTTCCTCATCCTGCATGGCCCTTCTGTCATCTCCAACATCCATTTGTCTAGATGGGAGCCAATGGGAGGACCCCACAGTCCTCGCTCACGCAGCAGTTCATACTCGATTTGACACCACTCCTCTGTCACATATTTCAGAGCATTCTGCTGACGCTGGGGGTAGAGACTGCATGTTGGTGTTCACGCAAAGGTAGGACCAACAATGAAACATCCACAGATAACTTAAAAATCAAGTTCATGCTTAGACACGCATGCAAATCATATCATGGTTAAGGTAAGCTGCACATTTTGTGAGAATGAGGAAATTATCGAGGTGATACAAGAAAGTGATTATTTTAGCAACGAGCAAATGACAGATGCATACACGGCAGAGTACAAAATATAGTCAGAGTTGGAGAAATTCTGTTGTTCTGGATATAGGAAAGACACTAATAGTACAGATGAAGATGTATCAAAATGGTTATTTCAATGTATATTAATAAATAAACATGGCATTTTAAGGAGAAATCCTTCCACCCTATGGTAGCTACACAATTTCAGTCAACTTGAAGATATATAAAAGTAGAGGGGTGGAATTCAACTTGTCAACCAGGTCACAGCCTGGTGGTGCCTCCTGTGGGCAGGACCTTCTCATAAGTGGGGTCCTGGGACCCTCCCCTCCTCTCCCTGCCTTCACTGTCTTACATGCTGGCCTGACTGCTGCCAGAGCCCCGGCATGTTACCACCACCATTGGATCCACACGACTCTGCACACACCAGCCTGTGATCTCCGTGCCTTCTGCATCACTACATGTGACTGTGTGAGGGACTTGTGGACTAGGATAAGGTGACCAGATGTTAACATTGGTAAAGCGGGACACCAGCAGGACACCATTGATAACACTCATATCCTGGTGAAATAGCCACATGGCAGCCGAAAACTGTATACCCCAGCTTGCTGTGCATTCTTTCCAAAAATCGGGACTTTTTAAAAACGCTGCAGGACACGGGACAAATTGTTAAAAATAGGGACTGTCCCGCCAAAAGCGGGACGTCTGGTCACCTTAGACTAGGATGGTTTCTCAATGTACAATTACTTCTTGATGGAAAGCTCTTTCTTAGAAATATATGAGTGTCACTGGATTTGTTTCTCTAGACCAGGGGTGTCAAACTGGTGGCCTGTGGCCCAAGGTAATTTTTGTGGCCCATGACGCTCTGAAATAAAATGGAAATAGAAAAAAATTGTTATGAAGAAAATAGCGCTTAGGGGAGAACGAGGCAATACCGTACACACAATTCCCTTGTTACATTTTATTTCAGAGCATCGTGGGTCACAAAAAATTACCTTGGGGGCCGCCAGTTTGACACCCCGGCTCTAGACGACCCAGCCTAACACACACCCCATTACTGTGCGACAAGTACTAGTACATGCATTTGGGAAAGTCCATGAAAACAGATCAAGGAATATTCCTAACACATTAGATCACTGGTACGCTTGGTAAACATGGCCAAATATTTTAGGTAAGGCCATAAATATGCATCTCGAGTAGGTAATTGATTCATATAAAAAAAGATCACAGAAAAAGTATTTCCTGTTGGCTACTCAGATAACTCCAAGTTAACTGAATCATTGTACTTATCACTTGGGGTAAATGCCTGCACGTGGACAAGTGGCATGATGTAGAACATTCCAATGATATAAGCATCCAATGTAAATCTAAAGATCTCCTTACACAACTAATCATAAATTTTATTGGATAAATAACCATGCAGTTACATGGTAACACAGTAGTTACTGTTGTGTTTCTGGAGGGAAAAAAAAACCCTATATAGCAAGTAATGATCCATCATTAAAAAAAATATATTAGCAGTTCAGAAGTGTTTAGGAGATTTAAGGTAGTGCTTTGGAGAAAAAAAATGACTAAGGTGTTGATTAAGTGGAGGAGGTTTTATGAATTTTTTTTTTTTTGCAGATATAGTCACGAAGCACCTAAAATAAAATGGAACTTGTAATTTTCAGTGTACTTGTTAGGTCTGAAAGACAAGAATGACCCTGGTGTTTTTACTTTGATTGAAAAGACGTGTAGCAACATGCTAGTTGGGAATGTTAATAGTATATAGTTGCAACTGGTTTCTAGCTTGTTGGCTTTTAACGAAGTTTGTCTACAGGAGATACAGATTCTTTTATCTTAAAAAATCAGTAGGTGTTGAAATAGATGTTGGTAAGGATGATTTACAAGCCCCACCTAACAAAATCCAATTCAGCAACTTGTCCTTAAAATGGGCAGACATGTGCTAAAGAAGCCCCATTGTAACTCATCGCAGGAATGCAAATCAAATAATTTTTATTAGGAATTCTTACCTCTTGATGCTCCTTATATTGTGTGTCTACCAAGTCACGAACAACAGCAATATGTGTAAACATCCACTGTGAAATCTCCTAACATTGGAGAGAAAAACAATCTTTACTCTCTCATGGGTTTGCTAGAAGACTAGGTTAAGTTAGCTTTAAAAGTAAAGCTCATCAATTCGTTAAAAGTGCCCACTACAGGGACAACCCAGAGCAACAATAAGAGGACTGGCTATCGCAAGATGCTGAGGCCCAGAGTGATGGACACGGAGCCACAGCCCTTCAAATGGCCCTCTCAGGTAGAGCTTGCGACCTCACCTTCCTGGAAGGTCATCAGCCACTTGCTTTAGCTTCAGGTCATTGTCTGCCTCACATCTAGCAGCTGATTGATGGTGCCAACATGGAAGTTCGGCGATTTCGCCAAAGGTGACAGGCCATTTTGGTTCCAGAGCTCCAATCCACTAAGGTCAGCTGAGGCCATCACTACCGAGGCCTGTTTCCCCTCGGCATTTCCCTGTGCTCCATGCGGTTTCCTTTCTCTCCCTTCCACAGGGATTGACCCCAAAGGCACCCTCCTCTAATAAACACCCCGCACACTAAGCTTCCCCTCATTGTTTGCCTTCTAGGGAACTCAACTTGTGACACAGGGGGTGACTGATATACACAAGCTCTCTCAGACTTTTTCATAGCTGCCATTAAAATCCAGGAAGTACGGCGAGGAATATGTTAATGGGATAGGTAGCTGTCTTACAAAAATAAAACAAACACAAGTATAGGCTACATGAAGATTAATGGAAAAAATCAAGTACATTTGTTCTGCTATATTTTTAAAATTTATTCCATGTACAATGATAATATCCATAATATTAGAAGTAGGAAAAACTGGGGGATGTTTACCTATCATCTGATCATCAGTTTCTGAATCTCAAATTCAATCACATCCAATTATAAAACTAGACAACTCTTATAAGGCAATTTTATAGAGAGAGAGAGAGATGAGAGAGAGTGAGATTCCCATAGTCTGGGATGCTTCTCTCTTTCTTCTAAAGGGAAAATACTGAAAAGTTCTATTTCAAGCCATCTGCCTGGATATGTTAAGTGTATTATACAAAGTACTATAACCAAAACTAGACCCAGAAATGTCTAAGATCAGCAATGACAGGAAACACAGTACCTGGGTAGAAAGACTGTGCTTATTAAGACCACTCTCCTTGCGATTCCTTCTTGATCCTGTTAACTTGGACAGACCGAAGCCACTGCTGACCCGGGACAATTTGGACTGCGTGGTGGGCACTAAAGCTTCTCCTCGACTCACACACTTCTTTTCGTGGGCTATGGGGTGAAATTTAGATCATTTCAAAACTTCTCCATACATGTACTCACCTTACTTTTCCTACTTTCCTATCATGGCCACAAACCACATTTCTGTAATTATCAAAAGCAGATAGTAGTTTTCTTAGATCAGAGTCAGGTGTTAGTTGCTCCTCAGATAGTACAAATTCACTTATTGATTCTGGAAGGCTGGCTCCAGGTCACTGTACCCTCAGAACCTATATTTGGTTGAAGTTTCCCACCACTACAAAAATATGCAAATTTACTTAATTTCTTAATAATATTTATGTATTAAGCACATATCTCATTATGTTACATAACGGTATTATGTTAATAATGGTTCACAATCCCTAACCTCCAAATTTGGTGCTCTTATTCCAAACCTTTGGTGCTGTGTAAACTTTGGAATTCAGTATGTTCTGGATTTTAAAAAGGGGACATGGTATGTAAACTTCTTATCATACAACATTAACAGAGTGTCTAGGGTGACAAATCATAATTAACACATTCATATTTCTGATGCAAAAGGCATGAACATTTACGCCAAGTAGAATATATAAAGTTTAATTAGGTTTTGCTACCGAGTGAATATTGGTACTTAATTAATAAGCAAACAAACCGACAAAGGAGCCCCTGGGTCTTCAGGGCTCTGTGGACTTCAGATTTACCCATTCAAACGTGGTGGACCCAGAGCCAAGAGGAAAGCGGCCAGCCACACAACAGGAGCTTGGAAAAATTCGTGGAAAAATTCCATTGCCTTTTAATTCCATTTTCTCACAAAGCTCTCCACATGCATCTCTGCCTGATGTGTAACACACCTTTGAGTTAATGGCAGTCAAGCTCAGCATAATCATTCTAGAATGTTGGATCGGTTTTCACCGCTACTTCCATCCCAGTAGCGTATTCTAGGGACAAGGTCATTATATGGTGAACGTGCGCTCATAGAACACAGCAGCACAGCGGCCTCCCGCTCGCCTGCTCTCCATAGGCCTCCTTACCCAGGTGGTTCTGCCAGCACTTCAATCCAGCCTCTTCTATTAGGGGCCTTGCTACAGCGATGTCCACATGGCCCCGCTCATTCACCGGCAGGCTGACTTTGAAAAGTTCTTCCAAGGCTTGTTTCTTACTGTGGATCAGTTCAGTCCAAACTCTGTTGACAGCTTTGATGAGAAGCTGACGTCCTTGGGAGATGAACAAACAAAGACAAGCAAGAAAGAACAAGCAAATGATCACAAATACAATAGAAAGCACATTTTTAATTTCTTTATGTCTTGCATTCAGGACTTTCAAGTGTACACCGACTAGTCAAATAACACTTCATATCATATGGCCACGTTGCTGTAAAGGACTGCCCAGATAATCAACAATGGGGGTGCCTACTTAGAAAATTAGAAAGCATAACAGTTTAACTCAGTAAGAAAAACTGGATTTTAATTTAAAATATGAAATCTTATGCACATTTCATTACCTATTTTGTTTGGTATAACATAGGAAATCAACATTTAAGATGAATAAAGACCAACAGTTGCTCTTAAAATTTTGTGTTTGTGTGAAAGGAAAAATATAAAAATCAAATGTTTTAAGAGGGGTTTTGACTATTAAATATGATCTTGCTTGCTGAGAACTAGATAATGTGTCTGCGTCTTGTTGAAGACCAGCCAAACGTAAACAGGCTAGGGAGTCTCCGGGAGAGCTGGTTCGACCAGATTGCTGGTTTCACTTACAGAATTTCTGATTCCGTAGAACTGGGCAGGGCCAAAGAAGGTGCATTTTTACTAAGTTTCTAATTATGTAATATTGCTAGTTGGAGACCATTGCTGTGAAAATCATTGTTCAAGACTGCCAATTATTTGGGAGCAAAAATTTGAAGGAGCGTCCAAAAGTTTGTGAAAAAATTAGAATGAAATGATAATGACATTTTTTCATGAACCTTTTGAAACTCTCTCTGCATTCATAGAATAACAACTGCATTCACAGTTCTGAGCTTCAAATAACCGGGGGTGGGGAATATAGTAAGAATAAGTTAATGGGTACATGAAAGAATGCATACAAGAATTAAGTGCTAGAACTCTAAAGGATGAAACCATATGAAAAAGTTGTATATGTCTCATTCCCTAATGATCTAATCCTTTCCACTGATCAATGTGGAAATAAGAGCTCAATCTAGCCACAGACTTTAATCCTCAAATATACAGACTCAACAGGAAAATCAGATGACAAAACAATGGAATAAAAAGGACAACGTGTCTCATGAAATATGTGCCTCTCGTGTGTCATGCCCAGCACACCAATGACTTAAGGTGTCTTTATGTTCAGTGCCAAGGAGCCCAGGTGGTGCTGTGGGTTACAGGTTGGGCCACTAACTGCAAGGTCCACAGCCATCCACTAACCACTCCACGAGAGGAAGATGGACTGTCTGTGCACCAGTAAAGAGTTACGATCTTTGGAAACCACCTATAGCAGTGGTTCTCAACCTTCCTATGCCACAACCCTTTACTACAGTTCCTCATGTTGTGGTGACCCCCAACCATAAAAAGTATTTTTGTTGCTACTTCATAACTGTAATTCTGCTACTCTTATGAATCGGACGACCCCTGTGAAAGGGACATTCAGCCCCCAAAGGGGTTGCGACCCACAGGTTGAGAACCACTACTCTATAGGCTGCTATGGGTTGGAACTGACTTGATGGCAGCAGGTGGGGATGTTCAGTATCAGGTAGTACCTGCTGCTCGGGCAGAAACAAACGCCGCATTACCCGTTGTGTAAATGCAAACATCGCCGGGTGTCTCAGCATCGTTATGAAATGCGGTGAGTGATGTAACCATTTTGGCGGACCCAGGAAGTCTTTCCTAGGCAATTCTGTACGTGCATTGGTGCGGCTTACCAGAAAATGGTACTTGACGTTGGAAATTTCTGATGCCATTTTTTGGTTTCAACCTTAAAAACTAGAAATGAAAGAGTGCAGCTAATAAGAACTCCAAGCAAGGCACACTGGAGAGGATTACCTTCGCTAACGTCTTGGCTGTAACCACCATCTGGTTCAATGTCGGAGGGGATCATGACGTGCCACGTAGTCATGCGGGCTTCTGCTTCCAGTCCAAATCCATCCACGTGGCTGAAAAAGTCAGTCAGTTTAAACGACGTGCAGGAGGCGATGGCCACAGACTACAATGGAGTATTATGCTGCTGGCTCGGCCACCAACTCTCCTTCCCGGCAAGCTGATGGACAGCAGGCACTCAACTCAGAATGGCCCATGAACAGGCCATTTTATGGGCGTGGTCTGTCTCACAAACCTTCCTGTCTAAAGACACGGCTCTCTACTCCCGTGCAGAGTGACAGCCTCAGCATCTCACAGGGGCGGCTGTAGCCCGCTCTTGGGGAAGCTGGGAGTTGGCTCGACTCGATCGCATGAGTGTGGTTTTGGGTAGCATCATGGACAGGGGTGGTGCTGGGCACTTAGGCACTGGCTGCCCACCAAGGCCAGAGTTAGCTTTTAACGAGCAGGATACACGAGGCTGCCCTCTCCTGGCAGTGTTTGCAGCCTTGGCACCGCTATGGGGTCCATTGATCGGAGCCCCCTGGCGTCACAGTGGTCCAGGACCAGGTCACGTTTGGCTCTGTCGTGAACGAAGTTGCCATGAGTCACAGCTATCCTTGCATTAGAAGACTATTCTTAGTTCCACTAACTTTTTGTAACTGTGAGATTAAACTACGATAATAAAAAGAGCGTCTTAAACATTAAGATGCCCACCGTGACGTTATTTTTGCCAGTTGCTACGGAGTCACTGCCAACTCGAACAACTTACAACAGTATAACCTCAAGATCTGAAGTCATACAGCGAAAGGTACATTCAGCTGTACTTTCAGTATCACGTTCAACCGAAATCCGTCATTCCTGCCTAGTGGCTGCAAAGGCTGACATCACAGAGTGAATGGGTCTCCAGCCCGCGCCCCATCCCGAGACAGACAGACAGATGGAGCGAATCTGGGTGAGTGCATGTGGGAAGCTAGATGCCCCACTGCCTGAGTCCCAGCACAGCAGAATGTGTTTTTCTCTTCATTAGCCAGAGGTGCCTGCTTTAAAATGAGACCCTGATTTTAATTTAAAATAATATTTCCACGAATAACCTATTCATTCCAGATACCCATTATACTGTGTAACAGTTGTTTGTGAAATTTTTTGTAAAATTAAAATGATCAGTGTTTTACAAAAATTTTTTAAAAGTTCTTAAGTTACAGATCGAGACCCAGAACCTGAGCTTGCACCGGTGGCCTCGTGAACTGTGAGAAAAGAAGTTTCTGTTTGTGAGACGTTCACTTGCGGCATTTCTGTTACAGCAGCACTCGGTACCTTAGACACCGCGGCCCAAGTCTCAGACCTCCCTGGCCTTGGCTCCAGTGGCAGGGTAACAATTGCCATTGCCTAAATGTGCCACACGGTTTCTCCCTCTGAGCAAGCGCAGATGTTGCTTTCTCTTCCAATGGCACACTCCTCCCCATCCTCTTGACGGGGTTCAACTTCTCCTCACTCAAGTGTCAAGTTTCAACCCCAGGGGCTCTTTCCTCCTTGTCAGTGGCCCTGGTCTCGTGTGCCAAAGCACGCGCTGCCACGCCTGAGTAGTTTTCTGTCTTCTCTCCTCAGCTGCAGGTTCCAAGGGAAGGGGCACAGGGTGGGTCTCACCCACCTCTTACTCCCCGCCCCTAATGTAAGGCCTGGCCTCGAGCAGACCCCCAAGAACTATCTGTCAGGGCAATTAGTGGAAAAGCACTAATTTCATGATGTGCCGAGCACCTGCTCTCTCAACCCACCACAGTGCATTTCATTTAAGAAGAAATTTCCGTTTTGAATGTATATGGGCCATTGTGGAAAATTTAAATGATACAGAAAAGTAAAACAAAGGGGAACAAACCATCATTCTTTTAGGGGGGAAAATGCAATCCTTGCCTCGCGTTTCCCTATGAAGTGTGAAATAAACCAGGTGAAAGAACAAGAGAAACGTCAGAACCGGCGTGGTCGAAGCAAGTGGTCTGGTGAGAGTCGTCACCGGGGCACACTTCACGTGGCTTTACCTGCCGACATGTAGGTTAATCAAGCAGTGGGCCAGACAGCTGATGAACTCCTGGTCATGGTTCCCCGGCCCCAGGATCAAGTTCCTGTTGACCGTGAGGACCCGCAGGGAATCCAGGAGAGCTACTTGCTGGGGCACGGTTTTGTGCGCCCGGGAGAACTGGTAGAGGATGGTCCTATTCAGGCAGTGATAAACCGCATCCAGGGACAGCCCCTGGGATCTTCGTTTTGACTGAAAATAGGAAAGATACTTGATTTAGTCATATGTTCAGTAAAGGAAGACTCAGACCTGCTGCTCGTTCAATCGCGTGCTTCTATTGGGTTGCTTGTGCACCTTGTGCCATGCTAGGTGCTAAGGACACTCAGCTGAAAGCTATAAAGCTCTTGGTACTGTGAACTCAAAACCACGAGGCACAGAAGTACCATTACTGAGACAAGTGTTCCGTAGCAATACCGAGAGGGTATTCAGTTGGGAGGGGAGACATTAACCCTGCTGCGGTAGAGCAGCCTCACAGAGGAACACTGAGAAACATTTCTCCAAGCACAGACACTTGGTCTGGGGGAATCACCTCTGTTCAAACCTGCTGGGGAAAAGTTACCTGCAATGTGAGATGGAGGGGAAAAAAGGGAGGGCGGTGCGGATGGATGTATAGATTGTAATAAGAGATGTACGAGCCCCCAATAAATTGATTTTTTTAAATAAAGTGTTGTAAAGGAAAAAAAAGGGGAGGGGGCGTTCTATTCTAGTTCCATGCTCTCACTTAATAATTCCTTTTTGGTTTAAAAACAAATTTATCTTTTAAAATATTCTTCGGTGATATGAGGAAACCCTAAGAAAACACAGCAATAGCACTTTCTGTTTTCCACATTTTGAGCTGAATTAAGATGAAACAGGCCAATATTCCAAAGCCAATGGCATCAAAAACACACACTAACAGCGGCATGTCCAAAGGAAGATGGATAAGAAAGGACTTTGGAAAGCTTAAGTTTATAAGAAGAGAATCGTCCTATAATATGAGGGTAAATCTAAAAGTATTGCTGCAAAATCACAAGACACTGTTATTAAAACTGCATATCAGAATGTGAAGCGACTGTTGAAGAATATAGCCTCCATCTAAGTCTCCATCCTTCTAAAGGGGCTATTTCCAATGTGGCACCGTGGTGATGGGAAGCTGGTCACCAAAGGGTCGGCAGCTGAACACCACGGCAGTAACATTGAATATACTAGTCTCGCTGCAGGAGAAAGACGGGGCTCTCTAGTCCCGCAAAGAGTTATCATCGAGGAAACCCACAGGGGCGGCAGTTCTGGCTTGTTCCACAGTCGCCATGAGTGAGAGCCGACTTGATGGCAATGAATTACTTTGCTGTGGAGATCGACAGACACTTCTTTCTAAAGGCACGATCTCCATCTCTCTGGCCCATCCTCAGAGAATTTGGGGCTCTTTGATTTACACCAGTTTTGCCAAGTCCCTCAGAGCAGGTGAGAGCATGTCGAGTGCTTTATAAATCTGCCTTTATATTCGTGTGGAGTCAAGATTCGTGTGGAAAGAACAGTATCACTTCTGCTGGAGGCTGGCACACGGGGGTGCTCCATGAATGAGTGGGCGGAAGTACCAAAGCATTTCCACAGAAGTGTGCTTGGGAACAAAAGGGGCAGTCAGAATAACAGGAGCTAAAGCAAAGGAGGTCTTTGCCTCTCTGGAGGTCACGTAAAAGGAGGATTGAACAAGAAGGCTATTAACACAGAGCAGCTCTAGTGATGAGGTTAGAGCATCCCGAATTGGCTCATAGACAAGGCAGCCCTTGCAGAGGAGTCTCAGTGCCCTAAGTCAGCGTCTCACAATGTCAGCCTCATGGAATGTTGGGCTAACTTGAACAGAGTTCAAGTAGGGAAAGCCAAAAAGTCAAAGATTAGCGCTAAGACCAGACAGAAGCCTACTGGGAGAGGCAGAAATGAAACTTAAGCAGTCATCTCACATACTGATTCAACTCTGATCCATGCTTTTCTATGCATGGCTCAAATTGTATTATTACTAACCTGCTATGAAATGTGTGTTTAAACGAGCATTTTCGGTACAGTATTATTACTCTTCAGATGTGGAAGTCATAATACAGTTATATTTTCTGTTGGTTACAACAACAAAACTCCCCGGCAGTTTTGGCAATCCCGAGGGTCTCAAATCATGTTCCCTTAAAATATTCATTGAGTTTCAAGAACAAAGAGAAATGTGAAGGGGTAAGATCCGGGCTATAGGGGATATGGGTTAAGGTTCCCCACGACATTTTCCCAGGGCAGCCATTGCTACGACCTCAAAGAATGAGCAGTGTATTGCCACGATAGAAAACAAAACAATTCCTGTAGTACAAACAACTCTGCTGGACATTTTCTCACCAAGAAAATTTTCTAAAAACTTTCAATTTTCTAAAAATTTCTCTCTGAAAAGTCCCGATGGTGTTCCTGTGGCCTTTGAGAAAATCTCTATCAAGACTGCCATTTGAAAAATCCCTCCCCACAAAGTCTCTCTGTCCTTCAGAGCTGGTTTCTAGACCTGAGGTAGACTGGCCTAGGAGATGCCCTTGGCAGTCTAAGCCATGTTTAGATCTACTTCTAATTTTTTTTAGCAGATATACTAATGAGACTAAAAACATGACTGAAAAAACAAAACAAAACAACTTATTTGCATCCATTCATGAATCAGAGAGCAATATTTAAACATATATGTTTGGAATAATCTGTGTCTGAGTGAACTGGACCCTAGTGGCTATACTTTTGACCCATCCATATCCCCCTGTTCACACTCTGTACACTCTTATACACTGATGCACTCCTGCACAAACCGATCACATGGGTATTTCAACCCAAAAGATGGAAGTCTAGTAGCTAGTAAAGCGCAATCATAGCTGTGGGAGGGCATGACCCGAGCTTGAGGGAATTCAGCACGTTTAAAAGTCACCAGGTCACTAGTAAGAGTTGGGGAGGCTAAAGGCCTGTGTTTTTAAATTCCCTTCTACTAAGAAACTCAGCTTTACAGTATATTTTATTAGTTACACTCATTTCCAACAATTGTGACACAATTAGGGAACTTTTTTCAGAAGGAAAACATGTAATGTATAACTAACAGTGACCATGAATTACCTGTGCAATTAGTTGAATGATAAACTCTATAAGAAGTTTAGATTCTTTGTTGAACATGCCTTGCCAAAGCTTGTCCACCACACGTTGTGTGAAATAGAACACATTGTTCACCAATACCTGGTAGCTTCCTCCACTGGTGATAGGCAGAGACGCATCTTCTCCTACATTCCAGGAGGAAAAAAAATCTAAGAACATGGATATCAACTAGCATCAAACCACATCCTCAAACAAATCAGGGAAGCGACTACATTTAGTACATTGAGAAAAACAGACCCACGAGCTCTTAGCAATTACTGTTAGAAAATGATGTTCATGGACAGAAACCATGGGAAGTGGAAGGGCTACCTATGCAGGTTAAAACATGCTCTGGAGGAACCCCTGGTGGCATGGTGGTTATGAATTCAGCTGCAATCCAAAACCATGCTATGGAGAGGGCTGAATAGTCAGTGCCAGGCGGCAAGCCCCGTGACATCTCTAATTGAGTGGACATGCCTACACTGGTGTTCAGTGCCCTTCAGCGGAGACTGACGACCAAGGGTGGTGGTGGCTCCGTCTGTCTCTAAGAGGATTTCATATTTCTGTTGGGGATGAGGGGTAGCAGAGGCTTGGAGAAAACACTTGATATTACTTATACGGGAGAATCTTCCCCATATTATATGGCTATTTATGCATTTTTAACCAAGTGTCTTTTCAGTCCTTGGTGATCCAAGACCCAGACTATATGCTACCTGATCTTAGATGGTCTTCCTGAGGTGCAGAGCACACTATATAGGCTACCCCAGAGGATCCTGGTGGAGAAACCCATTAGGTGACTGAACTTTAAACACACCTGCTGCAGATTAAAGGAACTGATGTGTTTACTCCTTTGGACTTCAGCCTGTAAGACTCTAGTGAGAAAGGAGGAGGAGGACTCTGACCCCAAGGTCGTGGAGAAGGAAGTCAGTGGACTTTGGTTCAATCCTTTTGCTTTTGAAGTTACCCAGTAACAGGCAACTTAGGGCTACTGTAGAAGCCCTAGTGGTGTAGTGGGTACTCATTGGGATGTTAACTACAAGGTTAGCAGTGCGAAATCACCAGCTGCTCCAAGGGAGAAAGATGAGGCTGTCTACTCCCGTAGAGTTCCAGCCTGGGAAAACTCACAGGGGCAGTTCTAGCCTGTCCTACAGGGTGGCTATTGAGTCAACACTGACCAGATGGCAGTTAGATTCTTTTTCCTTTTTTTGAAATCATTTTATTGGGGGCTCGTTCAATGCTTATCACAATCCATCCATCCATCCACTGTGTCAAGTACATTTGTACATTTGTTGCCATCATCCTTCTCAAAACATTTTCTTTCTACTTGAACCCTTGGTATCAGCTCCTTATCCACCCCCTCCCCCAGGGTTATTGAATTTTGTGTCCTGTATCTAACCCTCATTTTATTCTGTTCAGAATTCAGTCACTTAAACTTTTAGATGTGTGTAAATGAGCATCCATGTATTTTAGTCCAAAAAAATGTCCTAAATACGAAGACTGAAAAACGAACAAAACCAAGCTGTGGATCGGTACAATGCTTTATGATAGTCTATGCAAACAGGTCCTGGCTGGTTAATAAAGGGCAAAATAAAACTACACCTTCCGTATCAATGAAGGAACGTAGGCAGAAGAACTTCAGAAAAAAAAAAAGTCAAAAATAGTCAGTGAGGCCTTGATGCTTCTCTATATAGCATCTACTAGTACTGTCTCTAAAAGCTACTCTAACATCATACTATCACCCCTCCTTCCTAAGGAAACTCTGGAGCCTCAATTGAATGATAATTTCTATCATTTCTACCTGACTCAAACTTCACCTCTTTAAGCAAAAGTTTTCATCTTGGCTTTTATACAGTGGGACTCCTTCCAGTTGATCAAAAAAATATGAAAGAGTTACTGAACCACCTGCTTTCAGGGGGCACAGTTAGCATTCTGAAACAGCACATTGAGTTTCCCGGCAAGGTCACTTCAGAAGCAAAACGACCATTTGATAGCCCGAGGCTTCATGCGTCTTAGCGTCCATCACGAGGAGCTCAGCGAGCAAACAGTCAACCACTCCTTTCCTTTCTCCTTTAAATCCCATCTTTGTCTTACATATAAATGTTGGTGCCCCTTGTAAACACAGCAAGGTTGTGTCTTTACCTACACACAGGAGAAAGGTTATTTTAATAGGATCTGACTCCAAGTCCTAGAAGCTAGTCTAAAAACGACGGACCTGTGAGCCAACAATCCTACTCCCCGGTACCAACAGCAACGGCTCCTTGTCACTCAGATGATGCGGCTTCGACTGTTCATTTGAAAATGGAGCTTAAAGAGGACGGCGTTTCCCACCCTTCCTGAAGGCCGCTCGTGCACGTGTTCCACACAAGCAAGATGTTCGTGAGCATTTTTTTGTAATCGTCTCACACGGGAATCTACCAAATGTACACCCATGTTTGTTTTTTTAAAAAGGGTGAATTTGTATACTTTATGATACAACATTCAATAAGGCAGCATCAAAGTTTGTGAAAAATTTCCAATCATCTTTTAATTTCACTTATCCATCAATATAGCACTGAAAATAAATGGGCTCCATCTACATGCAGTACCACAGCCAATGCTCACAAATCCTAGGGTGCACTGTAAGAAGCTGGACCACACAACTCATGTACATTTTACTAGGTATTCATAAAAAGATAACCTGTCTGTAAAATTTGTAAGATATTTCCTGCCTACCACCCTTGAGTACACAGTCACGTGTCTGTCCAACCAGGAATTCTGTTGGGTGTTTATCTTCCAGACAAAGGGAAGAGCTGCATGAGCCTTTTCCTCACATGGAGAAAACAGCACTCACGTCGGACAGTGCACAGAAAACACGGACAGTGATGATGTAAAAGGGGCGACATCCCCGGGATGTGGACACAGAAGAGCGATTACAGGTACGTCTAGAAAACAAAGAATTACCCAGTAACACATCAGCAGCAAGCAAATGGTCCATCACGCTGTCCAAAACGTAAGTCTGAAATTCTTTCTGCTGAGTTCTTGTAGATCGTTCGGGGGAAGCCTAATTGATAAAATGAAGAATTAGTAACAGAAGCAACCAAACAAAGCAATAAACTGTAATTATGTTCCCAAATGCATCAAAAAGATAAAATGAAACTGAAATGCCACACGAGGAGTGATATACTGCTTGTGCCTATAGCCTTTCTCTTATTTTTCTGATCTTAAGGTTTGAAAACACAAAATGGAAGCAAATGTGAGACCTCACATTCGTTTGAATCCATTCCAAAATAGTATTCTTAACCTTATAAATATTCAATACCAATGTGACCATCTATTATTATATATCACTTCCAGGAAAACTCTGGGACTAGATAAGGAAACTAAAATAAACTAGAAAGCATTAAAAACAGATGGTAAAGCTCGAGATTCTAATTAGTGGGCAAGTGAAATGGGAGGAAAATCCTTTTAACAAAAAATCTAATTAAACACATAAGTTAGCTCTCAGTGTCCTCTATGCCAAGAAAGGAGAAAATGGGAAAAAAAGGATTACAAAATGCATGTTTTCTATAAAAAGCAGCACATGAGAGGATCAGGAGGGAGGTATATATACGAAAATTGTCCTGAGAGGAATCGTCTCTCGGGTTTTAGAAACAGAATGCTGAACTATGTGAACGGCGCCTTTGATACCAGTTGTACAAACATGGTTTTTAAATGATCTGGAATAAGTTAAACTACAACCCTCTGACAGCATTGCTACCAACTATGTTGTTGGTTTCAACTTACACAGACAATAGATCTAAACACGGTCTGGTCCTCCACCATCCTCACAATTGTTCTTATTGTGAGCCCA